GGTTTGATATTGATTGCAGTGTAAATTAATTTATTATGTGAGAATTTATTACATGGAATCGTTGGCTCAGTGAAAAGTCAAAATACAACTGTATTTTATCACAGAATAACTGCATTGATTAATTGCAATCAAAAGTTCATTTTTCTGTATAGATTTGTAAGTGTATATCAGGAGTCACATGAATTTAGGAAGAAAATGAAAACGCAAAACTCTAATTAGTAGATTGTATTGTCTGTTTACTTCCAAATTTGCAAATGTTTCAGTGTACACTTCTGTTTTATTTTTTCATATTAGATTTCTATGTTGTAATCTTACTAATCGGTGCTGTGAGTGTTTGTCATCATCTCTCCAATCCTCAAACTGTGTCCTGAGAGAGCTAGATCTGAGTAACAATGACCTGCAGGATTCAGGAGTAAAGCTGCTCTCTGATGGACTGAAGAGCCCAAACTGTCAGCTGCAGAAACTGAGGTATTTAGCCCTCAAGCCGTATTCACTTTATAGCCCTTAATCCTGTAATTGTGGACAAATGTGGGCACAGAGGACTCAGGTGTGATCCTAATTTTTATTTATTATAGATGTTATATCACTGTCTTCGATAAAGTTTTGTCTATCCATTTATGGTGGGGTTTTTTATTTTGGGGATATTTTTGAATTTATTTACTTCAAAAAGTACCATATTTTCTATGTAAATTATGCTTATTTATTAAAAAAAATGTAACTACATTAAAATATCATTCCAATAAGTTCTTAGAGCTAAAAACTAAAGATGAAGTGACTTTGCTGTCACCTGGTGTCTTATTTTGGCTTATTTTAGAATGCTCTAAATTACAGTTTTTCCCATTCATTTCTATGGGTGACCATTTTTGACCCAAATACAAGATTAAGGATCAATATTTTTTTTCACCCACTTAGCATTGTAGAATTGAGTAAAAAAAAATGTGTGTGTTCAAGAGGCAAACTTAGGAAAAGTAGCCAAGTCTTGTACTGCTCAGATCAAGGAAAGTATTTTTTTAAAAATAAATCAAAACTATTTTGCCCACATTTGTCCAGAATACGGTTTTAGGGTTAACTGGTCTGTCTATTTAAAAACTTGTGTAGTTGGTGTGTGCTTAATAATGGTCTCCACTGTCCCCCTTTTTAGAAAATTACTCAAATGATTCTGTACAATAACTATATTAGATTTAAGAATTTTCTTCAATAAAAAGTTGTTTTTTCTTGTTTTTTATATTTATTTGCAATTTAATATTTAAGAATTTTGTTAAATTGTAGTCTTTGTTTATTTTTTCTTCCCATAAACATATACATAACTACTTATATTTAAATTCTGTATATGTGAGATGTATATGTATGATGATATCTGTATATGTAATTTGCTGGCGACGTTTGCGGATTATATACAATGTTTGCTATAATCAACCTACATGGCTATGGCTTTGTAGCTAATTTTTCACCACTTTAGTGTAATTAATGTCACTAAACTGTGTGTGTCTGTAGTTGATCTGACTGTGTGTGTGTGTGTGTAGGTTGTCCGGCTGTATGGTGACAGAGGAAGGCTGTGGTTATGTGTGTTCAGCTCTGAGTTCAAACCCCTCACACCTGAGAGAGCTGGATCTGAGCTACAATCACCCTGGAGAATCAGGAGTCAAGCTGCTCTCCGACAAACTGAAGGATCCAAACTATAAACTGGAGATACTCAAGTATGCAAAAGACTAATAGTGAAATACTGAACATGTGTGTGTGTGCATGTACATTAAAATGTGTTTGTGTGTTTATAGTGTGGTTCATGGAGGAGAGTTCAGGATGACAGCAGGACTGCGAAAGTGTATGTCTGCATACGAGCGCACACACACTGTGCTGAGTGATTGTTGTGTTTTTGATGTTTCTCTCATCTTGTGTTCAGATGCCTGTGATCTCAGACTGGATCCAAACACAGCACACTCTCGTCTCATTCTCTCTGATGAGAACAGGAAAGCCACATATGTTTATGGTCATCAGCCGTATCCTGATCATCCGGAGAGATTTAAGAACTGCGAACAGGTTCTGTGTGGGGAGAGGTTGACTGGACGCTGTTACTGGGAGGCTGAATGGAGCGGGTACAATGCTGATATATCAGTGTCATATAAAGGAGTCAACTGGAAAGGAGGAAGTGTGCTAGGGTTTGGATCCAATGCCAATTCCTGGAGTCTGATCTGCTCTGAACGCAAATTCTCTGCCTGGCACATTAAAAAGCGAACTTTCATACCAGCCCCTTCACCCTTTTCTTATAGAGTAGGTGTCTATGTTGACGTGTCGGCTGGCACTCTGTCCTTCTACAGCGTCTCTGATACACACACACTCACACACTTACACACATTCAACACTACATTCACTGAACCCCTCTATGCTGGATTCAGGGTGTATTTAAACTCTTCAGTGTCTCTGTGTCCGATTAAAACTTAGAGAAGCACACTCATATTAAACAACATCCCTATATTAAGCAGCCGAACCAATGCTAACATAGATACTTGGAGATGAACATTATTGAATGAGGACAGAGTTAAATGAGAACAGACAGAACTCATGAATAAATGCTTGTTCACTCCCAAAAGGATAACTACAATGATTACTAGCTTGTACGTCATGAACATGGGGTCGGCTATCACGCAGGCACGATTGTCTCTCTTTTTTTCTTATCAGTGCAAAAGAGACACAAATAACTCGATTTTTGTGATACAGGCAAGTGTTATACATCATTCAAAACTGTTAAATGTCTACTTTTATGTGTGTGTACTAACAATAAAAACAAAATGTTGTGTTTTTTTTAAATAAAGAAAATAAACATGATGCGCGTTCTGTCGTCTCTCTCAATGTGATGACAATGTGCAATCTGAAACGCGACAGAAAATGATCTTTAACTCAGCAAATACTTGCCACCCACACGCGTGAGTTATGTTTTTACAGAGCTTTAAGTCTCAATTTTTAAATGATGTAAATCATACCAAAAACAAATATTCTCTGTTTAAGTAATCCGAATGAAAGCAACGACATTCAGCCTGAGCACATTAACTCTAATGTGCAAATTAGAAAAAATGTGCAAATTTCCCATCACTACTGGCAGTAGTTTTTTAACGCCAAAAGAGGGTTTGTGTGTATGTAGTTTACACGTGCATTCAAGAAGCCATTATAGATTATCCATCTTATACTAAGGAAACTCACAAAAGTACATTCAGAGAGTGTTGTCCTTTGCTAGCCATGTCACATTGGAAAGACAGTGTTTGGAGAGAAGAAGAAAGATGGGACACAAAAAAGAAAGTTCAGCAGTTTAGAAAGACGCTTGACTCTAGTAAGGAAAAAAACATCATTTCCACCTGGCCAGAAGTGTCAAAAACGTGACTGTCCCTCAGTGACGAGCAGATGAGGATCATGTAGAGGAATTGGGTTTATGATAGTAGATCAAAGGTAGATTTGTCTAATGATTTTTGTTATTATAGATAAGGGGTTTGACAATAGTGTTGTTGCTGTTTTGTATGTAAGGATGTGAGTATTATTGTTTGAGAGAGAGGAACCTCTTATTTTAGTTCTAATGTAGTAAATAAATGTAATGAAAGGAAATTGATTTCTGTAAGTGACTAAACAGTCGTTTCAGTTCTGTAAGTTCATACTCAAGTCTTATTACCTGTAATCACCAGCTTCCTAAAACCACAAATTATTCACCCAGAACCCATCGAAACCAACATATTCTTTTTCTTTCTGATACTTGGCACCTTAATAAACATCTTGTTTGCTTTGATAGATGGCATTAAACCAGGATGTGTGTATTCTTGTTTTTTTGTTTTTAAATGAACTGCTTGTTCCTCATTAGACTTTGAATCTTTGGGGGATGATGTTAATCAATAACAGTAAGTATGTATTGGTTATGAGTCATTGCTGTCTTAGATCAATGTTTCCTTCTCAAAATAAAATTAACATGTATAAATTTAATGTACAGATGAAATGGTCAAGTCCTGATATTTCACTTCTAATGACTGATGAACTATCAGTTATTATTACTAATCTTTTTGCTCTCATTGTAACATTTATTTAAAATTATAAAACATATTGCCTGTGAAGCCCTATGGGAATATGAGTCATGGCTCTACAGTAGATACATATCCTTAAAAATATATTTTAATTGAATTTTTTTTTCTATCAACTAATAACAACTTATGAATTGGGGTTATTTCCTCATAAAGAGCCAAAATGAGTTACTCATTATTTCTGTATATAATATAAAAATGTCTAATCTGTTTGCATTAAGACTGAAGAGTTTAGAGAGGACTCTTTTCAGGAAATTGGGGAACCTATTTTTATTACCTGTAATCGTGAACTTCCACAAACTTTTACTTAGAACTAGCGCTGGGCAACGATTAATCACATCCAAAATAAAAGTTTGTGTTTACATAATATATATGTGTGTGTGCTGTGTATAGCCTAATTATTTTGTATATATAAATACACACATGTGCATGTATATATTTAAGAAATATTTGCAGGGATGTACTGGATATATATTTATACATCATTTATATATACAAACTTTTATTCTGGACGTGACTAATCACGATTAATCGTTGCCCATCACTACTTAGAACCCATTAAAACCACCATATTTATTTTAAAAAATAACATTCTTTGTTATAAAAAATGTAACCTTCTTTATGCTTTTCTTTCGTATACTTTGCATCGTAATATACACCTTGTTTGCTTTGAGAGAAAACGCTAAACCAGGAAGTGTTTTAAAAAAAATGTAACTGCTTTTTCCTCGTTAGACTTTGAATCTTTAGGCAAATATATATATATATATATATATATATATATAAACATTTAGTATGTACTTTGGTTTTCCAACGGATGTTTCCTTAATCTTGAACCAATATCTATAGCTTTATAGTGCACAGTAATGTCATAAATATGTTTAAAGTCCAAAATAAAATATAGAAAAATTATGTTATAAAGACGCAGAGGAGGAGTCTGAGAATCTGACATGTATATAAAGAGAGTTTGTGTCAGACTGAACAACACAAACGGTGAGTACTGTCTTATTCCTATTTTAGCTCACAGGACATTTGTACAATTTTCAGAAAATAAAATAGAATTTTTTTATATTTGTTTTATTTAGAGAAAATCAATCTACTGAGGAGAGACTGAGAAAATGGCCGTAAGTTCATCTGGTTCCTTCATTGTGTCTATTACCCTGAACCACTAAATACTTATTATTTTATATTTTGTTTAATTTTCAGTGTGATGTTTATTTATTTCTCTCTGTTATGTTGGTTTTGGGTTAGGCTCATGCTTAGGTTTTCATGTCTTTTATTTTGAAATTTAGTCATGTTTCCTGTTTGCCATGTGCTTCCCTTGTCTGTGGCATGTTCTGATTGGTTGTTCTAGTCATGTGTCCCATGTTCTCATTTGTTCATTGCCTTCAGGTTTATTAAAGGGCTGTTCACCCAAAAATGACAATTAGCCTATGATTTACTCCCCCTTAAGGCGTCCTCGGTGTATATGAAATTCTTCTTTCAGACAAACACAATAGGAGTTATTTTAATGTCCTGGCTTTATAATGGCAGTTAATGGTCATTTATATTTTGTTAAGTCTATTTTGTTGAGACTTATTTAAGTCTATTGAAGTGCATCTGTCCATCATTTAAGTGCTCCAGTCCACAGACTCTGGGGGGTTAATAAAGGCCTTTTCAAGTTAAGCGATGCGTTGGTATAAGAAAAATATCCAATAATATGTTACACTCTCTTTCTCTTGTGTAGATGAAGGTGTTTTGGGCGGTTCTTCTCCCTGTTGTTTTTTGCCGTGACTGTAAATTCATGCCATTCGACTGTTCTGACATCTACAACTCTGGACGAAAGCTCAGTGGGTTTTACCCCATCTGTCCAGCTGGAGACGTTCCTGTCTGGGTTTACTGTCACATGGTCTCAGATGGGAAAGCTGAAGACAACGGAGGATGGACGGTACGAATGTGACTTTAGAACAGCAAACACACATCAGAACATACATTATGAATCATATATTGTATATAAACCCATCACAGGTGATTCAGAGGAGAATGGACGGCAGTGTGAATTTCTATCGGCCGTGGAGTCAGTACAAGAGCGGATTCGGGAATGTGGAGAGCGAAAACTGGCTGGGTAAGATCTCACAGTGTGTGTCCGTTTGTGTGGATGATCATGTGTTTGGTTGAACGTGTGTGTGTGTGTGTGAACAGGGCTGGAGAACATGTACCAGCTGACGCGTAACAGAAAGAACATGCTAAGAGTGGATATGGAGGACTTTGGAGGAAGGAAGGGTTTTGCTCTGTACTCGTCCTTCTCTGTGGGTCCTGAATCTGACGGGTATAGACTGCGGGTTTCAGGATTCACTAATGGAGGAGCAGGTAGGACACTTTCATTCATTGGAGTAAATGTGTACATTATCATGCACTTTCAAATGTTTTAGTAATTTCAAATATAAAAAAATGAAAAATTCCTCAATTTAAATTGTTCAATCAGTTCGTAAATGTACTGTATGTCTCACTCTTTAAATGTGGCTTACATTGGTAAATGATAAGAAAACTGCACAATAATCTTTAGTGAGTAATAATGACAGTGCAGTGTGAGATGTCAAGCATGTTGCTCTGATAACATACATTATCTGGGTAAAAATGAAGCTTGCTAAGTGATAAATCCATTGTTTATTATCTGGGTAAAAAAGTATGTGACTCTTTTATATCTCATGTTAGTCCTGATAATGATGCTCTTCTTTACAGGTGACTCTTTGACCCAACACAATAATCAGAAATTCTCCACCTTTGACAAAGATCAAGATGAATATGGGAAGAACTGTGCAAAAATGTTTCTCGGGGGATTTTGGTACAAAAACTGTCACCATGCAAACCCCAATGGTGTGTATTTATGGGGAACAGATCCCACTCATTACGCCATTGGTGTTTCTTGGCACAGCTGGAAAGGGGATCACGCTATCAGTATGAAATCCATCAGCATGAAGATCAAAAGTATATACTAATTTAACATTGTTACATTATGTGTACAGCTGAACACATAGCCTTATACTCCATTTGACAGTGTGCAGAAACACAGGCACTTCAACGAAGTTTCATCTGTGTCCAGTGCTCTCTCCAGAAGTTATGGATGATAAAAAATGACTTTGTACTCTTTTAAACTAGAGTTGTGGGTTTCTCTGTACTGTAATTTTTCTTTTTGTTTAGTCAGTAGTTCAGAATCAGTGTTTCAGATCCGCTTTCCAAAGGACCTCTTAAATGTTCAATAAACCCCAGAAGTGTTTATTTCCACAACAGAAACACTACATGTGGAATCGTAGATGTGAATTAATTGACTATATGAGTTTGGAGCTGTTGAGTATTGTACATGTAGACTGGAATTCTTAATCACAATGCTTTTGTACAAAATACAAATTAAGCTACAGTACTTAATGAAAACATTGCAAATCTTTTATTTGTATTTTTATCAGTTAAATAAAAGAACAAAAAAAAATCACAGATTCCTGAATTAATTGCATTTTGCAAAATGCCCCAACCACTCTGGGAATGCTGTATTTCTTTAAAAAATAATATTCATGAATGTCACTACTTTTTTGTTGTTGTTGATGCATTGAGATGGACATTAGCACATTATTAGACATCTTGTTTGCTTTGAGAGCAAGCAAATGGTGCTAAACCAAGATTTTTTTTTTTAATTGAGCTGTTTGCTCCTTGTTATCCCATTGAATCTTTAGGAAAATCATGTTAATGAATAACAGTAAGTATTTATGTTAATGGTTATGAGTAATTGCTGTTTTAGATGCATGTTTCCATTTCAAATTAAAAAATGACATTTAAATTTGAAATACTGCTAAACTGTCACCTCCAATAATTGATGAACTATCTGTTATTTGATTACTTGTTGTTGCATGCAGTCCTAAATTACAGCATGTTGCAAAAAGGTAATAATTATCCCAACAATCACAAAAACAACAGTAATATATTAATATTAGTAGTGGCAGTATCAATGATAGTATTCACAATGATCATATTCATGACAATAATAGTAGCATTAGCTCTAGCAATCTACAACAATAAAAATAAATTTAGCTCAGTCAATAATGTCACTATACATTTGCTCTAGACTCAGGTTCAGCGCCGATCCATACACACCCACACACACACACACACACACACAGGTAGAACTGGGGATTGAACCACCAACCTTCTGGTTTAGACAACCTCCAGAACCACTGAGCCACTGCCGCCCGAAGTATGAAGTGTCTGAAAATTGAGTGCCTGAATTATTATGAATATATTTATGAATACCATTTATTTAAATATTGTAGGTTTGCTAAAAAGTAATATTGAAAATTTGGAGCTTCTAGGCCGCCCTGTGATTTTGTCTTTTGTAATTTTCCAGAGATATTTTAGGTGTTTTATGTTCCCAATAGAAGTGAGAGGTTAATGAATCGAGTGATTTAAACCATTCACTGGTGTTCTGAAACTAGACTGAAACTGAAAATAGATGATGAAAACCACAAGGATGGTCCAACAGTTTCAAACTATTTTAATAATTATTTGATTGATTCAGTGAATGAAATTATCCAACACCCCTCTGGATTGCATCATCCTTGTTCATCACCTCAGCCCTCTGTTTATAATCATCATGAGGTTCTGTGTTTTAAACACATTGATTATTCTAAAACAGATAAAATAATACAATCCTGGAGAAAAATCCTGGAATGTTTTCATCAAAAACCTTCATTTCTTTTTGACTGAAGAAAGAATGACATGGACATCTTGGATGACATGGAGGTGAGTTCATTATCAGCAAAAGTTTTTTTTAAAGTGAACTACTTCTTTAATAGTCATATTGGCCTGTTTATGTTGAATTTACAGTGTTCTGACCACTAGGTCACCATGGAGCAAAGTGTCGAAATGTTTCGAAGCCTTGACACAATACGGCACATTTGCTTCAACTGTTTCAGTGTTCCATGAAGACTCCATCTGCCTCCACCTCTTCTAATATGCGCTTTTATGTATGTTCACAGGCGTAACTATCTGTATGCAGGGTACGCGGTTGCTTACAGGCCCAGACCAATCAGGGGCCTGCGTGACTGGAAGATATTGATTGGTAGCCGGAAACCCCTATTGCATTTTACTCTGATCGCATTTTACTTTATCACAAATTTATTTGAATAAATAATGACAAAAACATATTTTACTGGTCATTAAATACATGAGTGTAACGAACAATGATGGATTTTGATGTAATTTTTTTTATCTATTTGGACCTAGGCCAACGTATGTAGTCATAGCAGCGAGTAACAATGTGTTATGGTGCGCATTCACCAGTGTTTTTTTATTATTATTATTTTTATTTTTTTATAGTGCACAAAGTCATCTCTTATATGCTCTGTCTCTGATCCTGTATGGTACGATTCATGGTAGCCTACTCATGGCCATTGGGTCATCACGTGCTATAGTAGGGGGATCGGCCTTGATAATCCTGCAGAAGGCCCCGGTGTTGGCTTGTTACGCCACTGTGTATGTTTATAAGGGTGGAAAAGCTCAAAGAATAACTTTATTCTTATGAACCAATGGAATTACCCAGTTGCATAAACTCCCACTCATACAAGTCTGGAGAATCATGACTGTTAACGAAGAGGGAGGGATTATCATTAATTTGCCAAAATCTGTAGAGTACAAAAAGACCAAAGGACAGCATCTCAATAGTGTGACAAGCTGATGAACAATGGCAGGAAGTTGGTGTGCTGTTCAGGCTCTGGCTCTTTGTGTTTGGTTTGGTGCTTTCTGTCATGCTGTTCCAAAGTGGAGTAATCTTCCCCAGAATCCTCAAACTCTGATGTTCCAGCAAACTGACCAGCGGTTTCAACAACCAGTTCAACAGCAAGCAAGTAGACAGTTTCCTCAGTTTGTTCAACAGCAAGCTAGTCAACAGTTTCCTCAGTTAGTTCAACAGCAAGCTAGTCAACAGTTTCCTCAGTTAGTTCAACAGCAAGCTAGTCAACAGTTTCCTCAGCAGTTTCAGTCTAAGCACCCAGTGGTAAAGGCAGAGCCCCTTGACAAATGTACTGTAGCTGATTATGAGCAGATCCAATGTGGACCACCTGGTATCAGTGGTGCTGAGTGTGCAGCCATCAACTGCTGCTTTAACGGACAGCAGTGTTACTATGGGAAGGCTGGTAAGAGTGTTGAGTCAATGTAAAGGTGTTCATGTTAAACTGATCTTCAGCAGTAACCTGCTCTTGTACCTTGTTTCAGTGACTGTCCAGTGTATAAGAGATGGTCAGATTGTGGTAGTGGTGGCTAGAGACGTTACACTTCCTCGATTGAGCCTGGATTCAGTCCGTCTCCTGGGTGGAAATGATCCAGCTTGCAGTCCTGTGGGATCCACACCTTTCTTTGCTATATATCAGTTCCCTGTCACTGCATGTGGCACAAGCATGATGGTGAGTAGCTGCTCTGGTTTTGTTTTGCATGGCTTGGAATGGACTAGATGCCCACGGTTAATATTTGCAGGAGGACGGTGGCTATGTGGTGTATGAAAACAGAATGACCTCCTCGTATGAAGTGGGTATGGGACCACTTGGTTCCATCACAAGGGACAGCCATTTTGAGTAAGTGATGCATGCTTTATCATAAATATTAATCCTGGACAAATGCTACAAGCTCACTGTTTGTTGTCCAGGCTTCTCTTCCAGTGTAGGTACTCTGGTACTTCTGTGGAAGCTCTGGTTGTGGAGGTCAACACTGTTCCTCCTCCTCCACCAGTAGCTGCTCCTGGACCCCTCAGAGTGGAGCTTAGACTGGCAAATGGTCAATGTGTCACCAAAGGCTGTGCCGAAGGTTTGTGTTTGTCCCAAGTATGCCTAAAGCCTTTCTAAAACTCCAGTTTCTAGTTAAACCCTGTATTCTTCTTCAGGGGACGAGGCGTACACGTCCTACTACAGTGACGCTGATTATCCGGTCACAAAAGTCTTGCGGGAACCTGTGTATGTTGAGGTGCGCCTTTTGGAGAGGACCGACCCCAACATTGTCTTGATGCTGGGACATTGCTGGGCGACATCAACCCCTAGTCCACTCAGTCTACCCCAATGGGACCTTCTGGTTGATGGGTGAGTAAGGCCAGTCTTTATCCATCTAGTGTGTAGTAAGGTGTTTCAGACTGCCTCTTTGCCTTTCAGATGCCCGTACCAGGATGATCGTTACCTGACCACATTAGTCCCAGTGACTGGATCATCTGGTCTTCAGGTCCCAACACACTACAAGCGCTTTGTTGTCAAGATGTTCACATTTGTAGATCCAGCATCACTGGCTCCTCTGCAGGAAACGGTACAGTACCCAGTGTGTCAGTTTTCAAATGTCTCTTGGTTCCTAATGCCAGCTTTGTTTCTTGTCTCAGGTCTTCATCCATTGCAGTACAGAGGTGTGCCATCCCTCTTCTGGCTCTTGTCAGCAAAGTTGCTCCAGGCAAAGTCAGTGCTTCCTGTTACTTGAACGGTTTAATTTAGCTTGTGTTTTAAAAGTTAACTTATTTGTTTTTTCTTGCACTTTTAGGAAGGGATGTTCGTTTAAACAATACCACTTCTGGCCAAACTGTGGTTTCTAGTGGAGAAGTGAGACTGATTCCATAAGTATTTAATAAATGATATTAAACCTTGAACTTGTGACCACTTTTTTGCAATGAGACCCACATGAAATTTTTTTCATTATATTTGGCATGTTGAGGACAGCTGTAACTTTCTTTCTTCTACAAATCTCCCTCCCATTGTCTTGGGGGGGAAACCTCAATGGGAGACAGGTGGATCATAAAGCACCTTTCAATTTGTTCTCACTGTAGCTCAAGTTTTGCATAACAGAAATTAACCTATTTCGTTCTTGCTGAAACTCAAATGTGCTGCAAGATGCTAGCTTTCACACAGTGTGATCCTGGGTAATTGCCATAAAATTGTTAGAGTGGCATGTGTGTGAAATCAAACACATCCTGGGATTGATGCTGGATTCAGTCCTGGAACATGGGAGTGGTGGGGTGATGGTGCAGTGGATAAGACGCATGCCTTTGGTGTGAGACATGTGGGTTCAAATCCACTGTGAGACCCCAATGTGTCCTTGAGCAAGACACTTAACCCATAGTTGCTCCAGAGGTGTGTGATTTGTGACATACTTAGCAATTGTAAATCACTTTGGATAAATAATGTCAGCTAAATTAATAAATGTGAGTTGTGTAGAAAAAAAAACCAGGACCAATGGTGTGATGAAGCTGAGATAATTAGTTAACCAAGTGGAATGGTGTGAAATGTGTTAGTTCATGGTCTAATCAGAGGGGAAAAAAGCATGATTATTATTGAGAGAAATCGCAGATAAGTAAACTTCGACGCTGTGGCGATATTTCACGTCACGTCTTTACGGGGATGTGTGAATGCACTTACAAATTCGAGATCATCACTGGCAGTGTCAATGAACTAAAATCAAATGATCACGGTGAACATTATCCGCGTATTTTTTGGAATCTATGTTTGAAAGGGGCTTAGAATAAACCTCACTGGTTCTTGCTGAAGCTCAAATGTGCCGCATAACACTTGAATTAACCTTACTGGTTTTTGCTGAAGCTCACACATGCTGTGTAACATGAGAACGAACGTCATTGGTTC